CATACACATGTTACCTATTTACTCACATATTACTTTATTATAACAAACACATCTACAACCTGTGACAAAGTTCGGTGAATGAACTCAGACAAAACGGTGCACATGCCTAGCGGCAAGTGTTGACCATCTGCCCCTACCGTTGCTCAGTTGAGCATCGTTTGTATTCCGTGTAAGACTTGTTTTACAAAGTGCTTATTTAGTGCGTTGGTTCTTACTTGAGAACAGGAAAATGAACGAACAAAAGATCAATTTAAAGTTTTTTTTAAAGCTTGGCAAGACACCAAAAGAAGCTTATGTGATGCTGGTACGTGTTTATTAAGATCAAGCGCTGTCCATGAGCTCTGTGTATGAATGGTTTCCCCGTTTTCGAGAGGACCGGATAAGCGTTTCTGACAAACACCGTAGTGGAATACCGGCGACATCCGCCAGTGACGAAAACATTGAGAGGAAATTAATCACAAAAGATCGTCGATCAACTGAACACATAACAGCTGATGAACTGCAGATTAAATGTTAACTCGTGTGACAAATCATTACCCAGAAATTAGGGATGAGAAAAACGTATTGTCGTCTTGTGCCACATTACTTGACGATCAGCAGCAGGCACGTTTAAAGGCTTCACAGGATTTTGTAAAAATGGCGGATCAAAGAGGGTCAAAAGGGGAGGTACAAATTGAACATCAACCATACTCGCCAGATCTTAATCCTCCAGACTTCTTCCAATTTCCATGACTCAAACTCACTTTTAAAGGGAAGAGATTTGACGATATTTCTGACATCCAACGAAACGTGACTAGAATTTTGAACTCTACTCCAAAAGATCCTTTCTTGCAAAATTTCCAGGACATATATAGCCCATCACAGTGATGCATTGTTATGAGAGAAGATTATTTCGAAGGACAGTAAGGTAACTCGTTTATATTTCATATACGTTAATATTACAGGACTATTCACCGAACTTTGTCAGTTTGTTTCACACTATTAAAATTCGAGAGTAGTTAGAATAACAATAAATACATAATTAGATACATTTTGCTATTTTCTAACGCAGAACCATTAATTAAGGAATAGAAGGTATCCAGATAGGAAATCAAGGAATCCATTGGGGCTATTAAAATTCCGATATTACTGTTAGTCAAGAATCATTAATTAAAAACATTTAACTAAAAGATTGGCTTACATCTGTAATGTAACCTATCATGCAGGCTGAAGGACAACAAGAGGTAGAGGGTGATTTCCAACATTTCAGTCGTTCTTAAAACTCCCATTCTTCCTTCTTACAGAAATCAGACAAAAAATTATTCCAGAGTTGTACAGATCGTTTATTTTACCATTTGTAATGTTTTTACAAATTAACGATATTTTGCATTTCTTTTTTTTGCTATTTTTTAAAAAGAATCAATTTTAAAGTGTTTTTAAGGACAGAATATTCGAATTGTTCTGTATCCCTTTCTCATCTTTGTGATCAATCGAGCTTACGTTTGAAAAAGAGCACGTTTTGTTCTCTTAGACTAGATAACTTAAAAAATTAGATTCTCGAAACTTTCTTTTTAAAAAAGTAAACGGAATTTGACTTAACACATTCACTAACTTTGGAATTTCTGAAAATAATGGCACGAAATTTTCCCTTTGCTTCAAACCTTATTGTCCATGTTTTGACCGAAAATTGAAAAATTTACACTAATACACTGCTGGACAATTGCTAAGGACGGATAACACTATCATCCATAGCAACCACAAAATGAAAGGAAGCAAAATGTGGAAAATTAGAATAAGTGCGGGATATTAGTAAGAAGAAATATGAGTATGCAAAATTTTTTCCCACGTCTGTTCATCACGTGATAGCGTTCATAAGAGCTTTAAAGCTTTTGACGCGTGTGGACGGTTGCTGTTTCAAGTCAAAGTTTTACAGGAAAGATTTAATAGACGAACTTAAAATTTTTGGCATGTCTTCCCGACATCACATAGATGATTTTATGCGTGGCCGAATTATTGGAAAGATCGAAGAAGGGTGAAAAATAACAGATGTTGCCAGGGAGTTCGACATCGCTCACAGCGTTGTTTCACGGCTGTGGAAGTCATTTAAAACTACTGGAATGTGTAGTAGACGGCACGGTGGAGGTCGTGTTAGAAGTACGACGCCTGCAGAAGACATATATATCGTCCTATCAGCAAAAAGAAACAGGCGCACCACAGCTCAGCAGGTGGCAAATCAGTTTCTTGCTGCCTCAGGAAAGCAGATCTCCCGAAAAACTGTTGCCAGACGTTTGAGGGGAGGAGGACTATACGCACGCAGACCTGTTGTATGTGTCCCATTGACCAGACAGCACCGTACTGCCCGTTTGCAATGGTGTCGTGAGCATCACAATTGGACTGAACAGGACTGGGCATGCGTACTATTCTCAGATGAGAGTAGGTTCAGTCTGTCATCGGATTGTAGACGCCAACTGATCTGGCGCGAGAGTGGTACTGCTTATCGTCCAGAAAATATCCAGGAAAAGGACCGATATCCGACATGCAGTATCATGGTGTGGGCCGGCATCATTATCAATGGCCGCACGCGCCTACATGTGGTTGCGAATGGGACTATGACGGGCCAACGATACATTGATGAAGTTCTACTTCCTCATGTTCGTCTTTTCCGTGGTGCTGTCGGTGATAAATTTGTTTTTATGGACGACAACGCAACATGTCATCGAACACTCGCTGTTCAGGATTGTCTAGACAGCGAGGGTATTCAACGTCTCGTATGGCCAGCGCGTTCTCCAGATCTAAACCCCATTGAAAATGCGTGGGATGCTTTGGGGAGGCAAGTTGTTGGTCGAAACTATCCTCCGACAAACAAGAACACCCTCATCCGTGCACTCACAGAGGAATGGGATAAATTGCCTCAACAGCTGCTGGATAATGTTGTGCAAAGTATGGTACGACGTGTGGAATGTTGCATAACACTCCACGGTGGACATATCCCGTACTGATACCTTTCTTTAAGGTGTCTGCTGACTTTTAGATGCATTGTTCCATTTCTCCGTACGCAGATCAAATGAACATTTTTTTTCTTTCAGGTGTTTCACAGCTTTTGTACTTTCCGGAACAATAAATATTCTTTATTCTAATGTCTGAACAGTGTGGCAACTATATTTTATCCTACTAGGCCTCATGTCTCGCTTAATGTTATGCTACATAGCAATTTGTGATCCGTCCTTAGCAATTGTCCAGCAGTGTAGTAATGTGTTAGCAATGCTTACTGCAATAACAATGTTTGTGTTATCCATCAACAATAGTTTGAAAATCTATTTTCATTAAAAATGGTTCAGTGGTTTTTGAAGAATTCACAAAAATGTGTTTGTTCCTTTACATTTGTACACTAAATGTAGACTACATAATTTGAACCAATTTAAACGATATACTATGTTACTAAGCATGTGAAACTTGGTAACTGTCTCGAGCAGATGAGAACATGATAAGTATCTACGAAAGGAAGCTTTTAGGATCTATTTTTAGAGGAATTCAGGAAAATGGAACGTGGCGAAGAAGATCAAATTTCGAGCTTTACCTATCAGACAGAATCTGATATCGTTAACTTCATCAAAGTACAACGAATTAAATGGGCAGGTCACGTTGGCAGAATAGAAGACCGTACCACTAAAAAAGTCTTCAATGCCCAATCAACTGGCAAATGAAGAAAGGGCAGGCCAAATCGTATATGGATTGATGACCTAGAAAAAGATCTCCTAGTTTTGAGAATTAAGAATTGGAGAACACACTAGCAAGAAGAAGGCTGGCCTGGAAAAGGCTTCTTGAGAAGGCCAAGGCCTATCCTGGGTTGTCGAGCCCTGAGGAAGGAAGGAGGGACTAGGTTACTAAAATGGTTCAAACCCTTCATATAGACCAGAGGTCTACAAACTTATCTTGATATATCTTGATATCTATCAAATATATCTTGATATATTTAAAGTTGATCAACATGTTCGAGTCATTTTATGTAAAGAAAAATTTTAAAAAAAATTATTGGACTTATTATAAAATTTTTTTCAATGTGATATTAATGCAATTTATTCATTAATTTGTGCTCCATAGTATTATATTTGTTACTGGGATACCATGTCACATAAAACACGAGTGTGCTTATAATCACTTTTGTTGCGAATGATCCCTCGCAATGGTACCAGAAATCACGTACGTGAAGTAAAAGTTGTCAGAAACTACTTAGAAATGAGAGGCTGTCCTGCATCGAAGTGGGAGGTGTGACCCGCTTGATTGATTGATTGATTGAATATTAACGTCGCACTGTTCAGCTACACGAGGGCTTTTGGCGACGGACCACGTAATTTTGAACCCTGGTCAAGTGACGTGGACGACACCTGAGCTGGCACCCCCCTCTCCTAACTACCACACCACACCAACGGGAGGACGTTTCAGCTCTCGACAGATTTAACGTGCATCGCTGCCCTACACGGCGGGTCTTTAGTGGTACTGGGCTCGAACCCGTGACAAAGCAAGCCACGGTCCGATACCTATACCACTCGGCTACCGCGGCCACGAGGCGTGACCCGCATTGGAAAACATTGCTTTAGATATTCGTAATCACACCAACTCCGTAGAAATCGTGAATCGATTTTGCATACACATTTATAATTTTTGTTTCAAATTTTTATTTTGAATGGTGGAACCCCTGAATATGCCTCATGGATCCCCAAGGCTCCTTTTAAACAAGTAATATAATTTTTTTTTTAAAGTCAGTTCCTACTTAGGTCAATAAAGAAAATTTTTATTTCGGTTACTTTTTAGTATAAATAATTACAATTAATTTAAATATGTATATACATACGTCAGAATCACAATATTAAATGGAAAAACAGAAAGCTATTTTCCTTTTTGTATATGATGTTGAACTATTATTTTTGTTTGTTACTATTAATTAATTAATTAATTAATTAAGTTTAATTATTGCAATGAAATAGTATTTTAAGAAGAAATCACATTCTCAGAAATTAAGATAACCCAGGTGGGATTCGAATCCACGACCTTTGGATTAGAAGTCCAACGCGCTATCCATTGCGCTACAGGGACACAGCGAGTGATTTCCCATTTTATGTATGTTGATCAGATTTTTTTTGTTTTTTTTACTATTTATTCATTAATTAAAAAATAAAGGAATTAATACTTGAAAAAACTGTATTAACATCAAGTGTCATCCACTACAAGATTAAAAAATGTATTTGAACTTGAATGGATGAATAAAAAGTATTTTATTAACGATTGAAAACTTGTGAAATATATATATATATAGGGTGTTTTTTTTTAGAGGTATAGAACTTTAAATTGCAATAAAACAACGATGTATTATTCGATTGACATGAATTTTTTTTATTCGAAAGATAATCTTGTGGCATTACATTTTAAATATGATCAAGCAAGGCGTAGATTCGTCGAATGGGCCCAAAACGAGATTGCCGTTGTTCCCGATTTTCATAAGCGAATTTCGTTAAGCGATGAAGCGCACTTCTGGTTGAATGGCTACGTCAACAAACAAAACTGCCGCATTTGGAGTGAAGCTAATCCACAAGTGTATGTCGAAACACCGTTACATCCAGAAAAACTGACTGTTTGGTGCGCTTTATGGGCTGGTGGAATCCTTCTTCAAAAACGATGAAGGCCACAACGTTACAGTCAATGGTGATCGATATAGAGCCTTGATTACTAACTTTTTCATTCCTGAATGGAACAATCATGATGTCCAGGAGCTGTGGTTCCAACAAGACGGCACAACATGTCACACAGCTCGTGCCACAATCGATTTATTGAAAGACACGTTTGGTGACCGCCTAATTTAACGTTTTGGACCTGTGAATTGGCCTCGAAGATCTTGTGATTTAACACCACTAGACTATTTTCTGTGGGGCTATGTAAAGTCATTGGTCTATGCGGATAAGCCACAAACGCTTGACCATTTGGAAGACAACATTAGCCGTGTTATTGCCGATATACGGCCACAAATGTTGGAAAAAGTCATCGAAAATTGGACGTCCAGATTGGACTACATCCGAGCCAGCCGTGGCAGTCCTATGCCAGAAATTATATTTAAAATGTAATGCCACAAGATTATCTTTCGAATAAAAAAAAATCATGTCAATCGAATAATACATCGTTGTTTTATTGCAATTTAAAGTTCTATACCTCAAAAAACACCCTTTATATATATATATATATATATATATATATTATATATATATATATATATATATATATATATATATATATATATAGAGAGAGAGAGAGAGAGAGAGAGAGAGAGAGCTATAATAGTAGGAATTGAAAAAAAAAGAGTATGAACAAATTAGATTTCTACATATATCGAAGTACTGCTTATTTCAAAGAAATGACATACCTTATGAATTTAAAGGGTTGTAATTCTAGAAATGTCTTTTTAAAAGCCTGCGATAATACCTCGAATAAAGAACTTCAGAACATAAGAGTATTGTATAAGTACGTTTCAGGTTTCTTCGCAAAAAAGGGCTGCGTGTCATACGGCGAATATACCTAAAAATTAAAAAAAATGCAGCTTGAAAGTATGGGTGCGCAAAATGTACGTCGAATTTTGTGGTACGTCTTGGTGCTTTGGTCTTGGTTTTTTAAAAAAATAATTCCTCAAGTATAGGCAATCTGTATATGCCACTGAAAGACGTTCCTTATTTGCGGTTCCTTTTGTCCTAAATCACGTTTATTTGTTTATAATAACCTATAATCATGGTAACTTGATGCTTAAATTACCCTCTTAGGGGCTATACGTTCGAATCTTCATTTCATGTACATTACTGACAAGAATAAAGGAAGCCGTCTGAAGTTATAAGCAATTGGTTTTTAAAATTGTCACATTGTCAAAATGCATAACAACTTGGGTTTAGTTTGACTGATTTAACAAGTTTAAAAATAAAAAGTACGTCGTTAATATCCCTCGTTTTAAAATGACATTAATTTAGATTAGACTATAGTAGCATTAAGATTACACAGTACTCTACAAATTTCAAATATATTGATTTTTTTTTTTGCGTTTTCTTGTGGCCTATATCATTGGGAAGCTTGCCACTAAATCTCAGATCAGATAACGAATTAGTTTTTAAGATATTTGAAGTTTTCTAAGCTTAGATTTTGGTTTCGGTTTCATTTTAAAGCATATTTTCACTCATATATATATATATATATATATATATATATATATATATATATATATATATATAAATTGAATTAATTAAAAATATTTTCAAGCACAATCAATTATTTCAGTCTGAAATTATTATTAATTTCAATTTTCATTACTAAAATTATTTCTGCGTGATTATGTTTTGAGGTATCATCGTTAATTAAAATTGATTTTAAGGCCAATTTTTGTTTTAAAAAATAGTTTATATATAATTTAGAAGCTTTTTCTCTCATTATTTCTTTCAATTCCTACTATTTATAGCTCACACACACTCTCTATATATTTATATATTTATCTTATTCAATTTTTCAATCGTTAATAAAATACTTTCTATTCATTCAATCAAGTTCAAATAAATTTTTTAAAACTTGTAGTAGATGACATTTGATGTTAATACAGTTTTTTCAAATATTAATTCATTAATTAAATTTTATTTTTCAATTTTAAAATTTATTCTGCGTTATTTCCGTCTTAGTTACAATTAGCTTCAACAGATGGCGCCGGTACGCTTTTCTAACAAAGTAGGAACTGATGTTAATTTTTTTTTTATATATTACTTGTTCCTGTTGAGAAAATGCCAGAGCCAAAATTTTCTCAGGTTGCTATTTGGAAGAGATGGAATACTACTAAAAATGATATATTGGAAAACCAGCTTTTCGCTGCTACTGCAATAAGAATTCCGAATACAAGTATTGCAAATAAAACAGCATATTTTCAGGTTGTGCCAAACTGCATTATAGTAAACATATTATAGTACTATATTATGATATTTGAGTTCTTGTTGAGCGACTTTAAAACTTGATAAACTTCCCCGATTTAAAACTAGAAAACATTAAAATCACAAGGTTTGTGCATACAATTTTAGCTTAAATTAGTGTTATCATTATTTTGTATATAAATGTTTTGTGTTTCAAAACTTGTGAAAATATTAGTTAAGATTAAACCGAATAAAAAAACCTGTCGAACGTAACAAATGTTATCAATATTATCCAAATAATATTTATAGATTAAAAAAAAATTTGTTTTCAGTCATACTTAATTAAAGTAATGTTTTGATATAGAACATAAGTTGGAAAATAACATTTTTGAAAATTAGAGCTTTACAGGCATTATAGGTTTTTGTTTTATGCCTTTACAAACTTTAAATGCGTTTTTCTCAGACTTTTAATTTTAAAGATGTAAGTGTTTTCTAATCCCTAAAGCTTTTTTTTTTCCTGTTCAACATGGAGCTTTGAAATTTTCTGTAGTTACTTCCAAACGTACGCTCTATAAAAGTTAATATGGATTTAGGTCTGAGATCTCTGGTTATTTAAAAAAATGCTGTAATTAATATTTAAAAAAAATCGTGTTTTTTCTAGGTTTAGCCAGAAAAATAGTTATTAAAAATCAACAAGGGAATAGATTTTTAAATCCATTCTAACTTTTGTTCACAATAATTAAAGAAACACAAATCATTTAAAATGACTAAAAAATTTCAAATATTCCCAATTTTTTAAAATTGTAAAACAATGGTTGGTCAAACTGACTTTTTGCTTTCAGAATCAACTTAATAATAACATCTGAACATAAAACAAATTATTTTTACTGTTACTGTCTGCAAAATTTTTTTTTGAAAAAGGGTACCGTGTAGCCTTAAATATAATTAGGTGGCTTGAACTAATTCTTACAGTTTGATTTGTTCAAAACATAAAATTTCCATTTTAAGAGTCGGAATACAGAAACGTGAAAAAATAAACTACAAAATGTCGTTTCAATCATCCTCTACCAAAAGAATTTAAGGAGACTTTTAATCCACAAGATCCTTTCTAAATTAACTATTCTTAGATTGGTACGCTTCGAGATGCCAGAATCATTTTTAGTCTTTTTCGCAAAGGCTGTTCGTTTTCCATAAGAGAAGCTATTCCATTAGAACTTCGATCTGAAATGTCATTTGTATGATAAGAAATAAGAATGTCTTGGAATACGAATGCATCTTGAACGAAAATTCTATCAAGTTTGTTACTGATTTGATTGTGGCTCACAGAGAATCCAGTAATTTTCTTAGCTCTTATGTCATAACATATTTCATGTTTCGCCTAAAGTTTCTTTCTTCTGATAATATTCTTCTTTGATATTTTTTCCTTGGGGAAAACATTCGAAAGTATGTAAAATAATTTTTATTAATTATGGAAATGTTTTTCAAGTTAAATAATAGTTAGATGAAGATATTGTAAAATAATTATAAAACAAGGAAATAAATTTTGCGTGTGAATTTATTGAGAATCAAAATACAGCCGAACCTCCGTATAACGAACCTCTATATTGCGAATTTTTCTATATAGGGAACTTTTTCCTAGAACCAAGAAAATTTCACGAATTTCTTCGTAAAATAACCTCCCTATAGCGAAATCCATTTTATATATAACGAACTTTCTCTTGTGATTCAATTTTTCTCCCCCTATATTTGAAGTATTTTTGGACATTTCGAGTTGTTTTCTCTTTTAACATATTTTTTGGTGGTTATAAATCTTGAACTGGTTTTATTAGGTGACTAACTCACCGAGAGCAATAGAATTCTCGGCATTTCGTCCTAGATGTTCAACCTTTAATCCCAATTGCACAGTTCACTGGGAACATCTTCGATATCCTCTTTCACCCTCAGTGGACTTCTTTTTTGAGCTAGTATCCATTTATTTGTAGTATTGATCAGCCGAACTGGTAACTTCGTTTCTTGTAGCTCGAAAATATCAAAACGTAAGTGGTTGAATATCAAAGAAATAAATTTAATTCTTCAGGAAGTAGATAAAGGCGTTAAGAAACTTTTCTTGCAGTTTTTCTTTCTTTTTTTATAAGTAAGATATATAAAATAAATATATATATATTAATTTAC